AGCACCACATCAGCATGCAATGTAGACCAGAGGCAGCGCCACATCAGCATGCCTGGCGCACAGAACAAGAAGCGCAAGCCTGCGGCCTCCACCTCGTGCTGTCGTCCACAACGCCTATGCACAGCCAGTGTCCTAGCCAGCGTCGCGCCAGCATAATGCCAGCGTCTTGTCAAAGTTGAGCCAGCGTCAAAGCAGCATGGCAAGACTGAATGCTTGACTCACTCGAGGCCAGCCTTAAGTAGCAGTTGTCCAGGCTGTCTGGCCTCGGGTGCTTTTCCCACAGTCGTCCAGATTGACTCACAGCTGAGGGCCCGGATTGTACAGTTGCAGACTTCTCCCTTAGACCTGATGCTGTCTGGATACCTGCATACAGACAAGTGTGTGTGCTTGACCAGCGACCTGGGCTGGGCACACACGACAGTTGACCAAAGTCAACTGTCACACGTCCAGGCCCCGAGTCCTCGTGTGGGGTTCTTTTTGCCGCCGTTTCGGCCAGGGCTGAGGGCGGCCGAGTTGGCCCTCAGTCTTTCCACGAGACATATGGCATGGGTCATTGCAAATGGCTTTTTCTTCAAGAGCTCTGAAGCAAGGATTGGACTTTGAGGCGCACATTCATCGCAACTATGAAGAGAGGAAAGTAACCAGGAGTATGCCAAGTGGTGGAGAAACACACTCAAAAGAAGGGCGTTGCTTCAAGGTTGGTTCATACTCGTAGATATGAGAACGAGTAATGTGAACACCCCTGGGCAATCCACACGTGGTTAATAGGCGGTGTCCATGTCGCTGAATTTTTCACCGAAACTGCCATATTGCCTTGATTTTTTCAATTTTTTTGCTTTTCTTCTTGATTTCTTTTTTTGAGTAATGTGAAAAGCCCTGGGCAATCCACATGTGGTTAATAGGTGGTGTCCATTTCGCCGAATTTTTCACCGAAACTGCCATATTGTCTTGATTTTTTCAATTTTTAAATTTGTTTTGCTTTTCTTCTTGATTTCTTTTTTTGTGTGATATTTATGTGCTTTAGGGTATATTATGTATTCAGTTTGGACATATTCTGGTGTCGGAGATCTGATTTTTCCCACCCAAATGTTTGACACAGACCAGGACAAAGTACGGAGAAACCTGATCAGACAGTGGGAAAAAGTCATCCAGGGGCTGATGTCCCAAGTGCCACCAGCAGATCAGACAGCAGACAGCCACAGCCTGAGAGGCATACAGCTGGCGAGGATAAGAGCTGTTAGAGGAGGAGGCTTGCGGCAAAAGTACAGGTACGTCCCAAGAAAGGAATAATAGGTCCAATCAGGAAGAGATCCAATCTACAGTGCGATGCCAAGTGGTGAACTGAGATGGGGATTACTACAGGGATGTCCGGTTACGTTGAGTCTGGGGCCATTACAAAGGGCCCAACTGTTGGACAGGAATGGGTCTCTTCAAGTGCAACAGTGAGGACAGGAGGATGGAAGGAGAGCCGTGGTCATCAACACAGAGAGAAAAAGGAAAAACAAAAAACAAAAAAAGACGCCTGGTTATTATTGTTATTTTTGGCAGACCACAGAAATGGACTGAGAAGGACTAGGCGTCTCGAGCGGGAGCGCAATGGTCAATCCTTCTCCAAGGAGAGGGAGACGATCAATGCCATTGGCTCACTCTACATTCGACGGCAAAGTAAGCCCTAGAAACACAAGGCAATTTTGGCAGCCTGCGTGGCTGAGGACATCATTGCAGGGGTAGCAGTGGTAAATCCTTCCTCGAGAGGATGCCGTCAATGTAGCGGTCTCAGGGTCCTTCACCCATACTGGAAGGAAACGTAGAGGGGTCTTGTTGTAAGGGACATTGGACCCAGTTTCTACCTTTTATAATAAGGTTGACTTTCTTCAAAACAAAGGGAAAAAAAAATTCCGGGGGCTTCCCAAAGTACTTTGGAGCTAGGGCCACCAGGCTGGTGGCATTTTTGCCTTTTTTTCGCACTGAAACAGAATCTCATGGTCCTGGCTCGTTCTACTATGGGAAGGGTCCATCCGGTTCGCTTCCCACCAGCAAGTCACAAAGCACAACCAGTTACATGTATTTACGCCAGAAGCGTTTCCTACCGTTAAACCACTACCGTCTTCACCCGAATAGAACGGCCGGTCATTTTAGCTGTATTCGGGGCAACTTTCAGTCTAGATGCAACCATAATGACCAGGTGTTATATTCGGGAGAAGACGGTAGTACACGGTCCCAAATTGCATTCCGAAAGTTGTCGCCACAAGAAAATGAGGCCAAAACATCAAACGCTGGGCCTGCCGTCGATAAATTGGATAGGCAGTCGCGTTTTTGTTTCGTGCTTCCAGGACTCGAGGTGTCAGGCCCGTGCCCCAGGTGCCCATTTACTGGTGCTTTAAGGCCAACGAAAGAACCCTGAACAGCATTGGCTGCTGCGACTCGGAGAATTGCCCACAGGCTGGGGGCAGTTACCAACCAAAGGATTAAAATTAACCCCTCCCTCCCCCAAATAGGAGGACATGCATTCAGGCTGTGCTTTGTTGTCCCTCTATACACATGGCAAGTCCAGCACCCTTCACTCCAGAAGTGGGTTTCATCATCCTTCATTGAAATCCAAAGATGATTCACTTTTCTAGCAAAGAATCCGTACTCATGTTGAAAAAACTTAAGAAGAAGGAGAATGGATCCAAATGGAAAGAAAATGCGCACCACTATTCCATGTTTCTGCACTCTTGAAATCTTAGGGGGGTTATAGGGGGATTATAAGAACTGCACAAACCATTGCTCCACCCTTCCAGGGCTCTGAGCACAACCTAAGACACTTGAAATAAGGACTGCACAATCGAAATGACTCTCACCTGCAGAAGCCGGCTCATGGGCACAGGCTTGTGCAAGTCCCCAATGATCTCCGCTGTCACTAGTTGCTGCGACTTTGTCAATCTGAATGGCAAGCATGCTAGCAACCGCTGAGCCAACAGTGACCACTCGGACGGTGGAACACTCGAGTGGCTGGAGTTGCTGCCACTGACTGCAAGAAATCCCTCACTGTCATCAGCGCTAACACCTGCTGCAAGTAGAATGGATTCATCAGATAGCTGCCGCCGCAGAAGCTTCGCTAACTGCACGCAGAGAGAAGACAGAGAGATACACATGTTGCACCTGAAATGTCAGAAAAACAGAGGGGCATACCATGACTGCACAACTTGTCAATTAAGAAGATTAGGGGAGAACATATGAAAACAAAGGAAAAGAGGGAAGAGAGATTATGGAACAGAAGCAAGAGGCACATAGTACCTCCTCACCTGCAAGCAGTAGGCAGCAGGTGCCTGAGACACATCTGCCTCTCAGGCCGAAGTGAGTGTCCCTCTCTTGCTTCGCAGTTTTAGGTTTTTAACTTTATAAGTTCATACTAACTTTATAGTATTTTGACTTTTTTTCTTTCTCTTTCTTTTTTTCTTGGGGGGGGCACAAGCTTGGCTAGTCCTTTCTATTGGAAACTGGGTCCAGCACAGCATCCCAATGTCAACAACCTGCAGAGCTTAACCCTCACGCCTGCCTCCCCGCATTACGACATGGGGAGCCCTGACACCATTGATTGCTTCCTTTCAGAAAGATTGTGAACGTCAGTCACACCCAAACCTCCCAGTCATGCCCCACCCCTATCCTGGGGACCCTTTTAATCAAATAAGTGTTATTGTGCAGGGAACAGAGTTCAGCCAAAAAACAAATCATCCCTCCCTACAGGGCCTAAACTTAAGTGAAGTAATGAACAAAGGCCTCCCTCCTCTTTCCCAAAACTTTCCTTACACTCAAATCTCCTATTCTGATTCTGCTATATATTTCAGGTTTACAGTTGCTGCTTGGAATCACCATTTTGAAGTCTGCGCTTTGAACTCAGAAGGGCCAGAGGTCAAATATCAGATGCACGAAAAAGAGCTCAGCATACTTGGGAGTTTGTCAATGAAGTCTGATCATCTGGTGATGGGCACAGATGGACTGATTCTACAGACGCCACAGACCAATGCAGCTGTGCCCTCTCTGTATGCTGCTGGTGCCATGATGATGGCACCTCATCTGCATGTGTAAAACTGTACCCTTCTCAGCAACTCCAAGGGTTAGACATTCGACCCACAGGCCACATCCATAAAGCCCAGCTCCAATTGGCCGATTGGCAATCACACTCGGCAATCACACTGCGATTGTTATCCTGAAAATAATTTTGGTTAGGGATAGTTCGCAAAATGCCCCTGCAAGATGTGGGTAGAGCGGAATGCCCCTCTGACAAAAATAAATAAATTGTGAAACAACCCTCGCGTCGGTTGGACCCCCATTTTGTGAAATACCCCTACCGGCGTGTACCATCCAACTTTGCAAAATACCCCGAACTTGCCAACTTTCCTAAGGCCAAGGCCCAAACGACGATGTCCAGATTGCAAATTTGCACACCTGCCTGACAGGGGGTCATAACACACAGATTTCGGCCCAAAAGGGCAATCCACTCTACCCACATCTTTTCAGGGGCATTTTGGCATATATCTCAACTTATGGGGGGGGAGGGTAATTCACAAATTATCCCTTTTGCTTAACATTGGATTGGATATTCCAAAATCTGTGGATTACCTGCTGGTAAAAGAATTCATCAAAAACCAGTCTCTGACGTGCAGAGTCCACTTCCTCTTTCGAAGCTGGACGATGAATTGCCTGGTAAGCCTGTGGCAAACACATTTGGAAATGAAACACAAGCACGCGTATCAGTGAACATCCCGCTAACCACTGAACAACCCCCAACCCACAGCTCTAAAGTTCAAGCTCACTGAGAGATCTCATTTCACTCAACAGATCGAATAGAATGGAATCGAATGCCCAGCTTCGAGTTCTGCATTATTGCAGCTTCGCGTCCGCCTCCAAGTCAGCACAATCTTCTTCAACTTCAAGAAGCAGCTCAAGGTCTCTTGAACTCGGGCTGCCTAAGGGTCAAAGACTGAATGAGCTACATTAAAAAAGGCACTCGAAGAAATCATTTCATTAGACACGTGCCAACCTGGTTTGATTTGAGCAAAAAATCATTTCATTAGACAGGTGCCAACCTGGTTTGATTTGAGCAAAAGTGCATATCGGAGACCGACTGTCAGGGTCCAAAAGTTAATAAAACTCCGAGAAAAAAAATGTGGTCAATGTCGTGTAAGAAAAAAAAAACTTATTTCAAGCAACGTTTCACTGGGACGGTAATCCAAAAGGGCAATATCCTATTTCCTCTGGGACAATACTGCGAAACCGCACGCGAGAACCTTCATTTACAAGCACGATGAGTTCCCGTGACCAGCATCCATCTGGCAACCAGGCAATTAGCAGGCAAGTAACAAAGCAATGATCATATGAGCACAAGAATTGACAATGTCGAAGGATCGCACTGCAGACCAAGGTTTGAACCGGCGAAAACCGCCAGCGCCTCACTTTTCTTCTTTTTCGGCTGGCGCCGCCAGCCATTGTGGTCCAGTAGCCCCAAGCGTCCAGAATTTTAGGAGTGAGCCATTTGTTTACTCTGCTGTATTCGTACTATTGTAAATTGTCGGTTTTCCCTCCTTTCTGCATCATCCTCCTTCTCCCCTTCCTACTCCTCCTGCGTTTTTATTGAGCTGGAGAGAATACAAGGGACGTCCAGTTTAGGTGAGTAGTGAATGCTGATGGCAACAGAAACAGAGAGGAACAGTTTGGGTGTGGCCTACCGGAAGAAGATCAACCTGTCTCCTCCAACGACCCAGCACACAATCAACAAAGTAAGCGGAGGACTGCTGTGTGCCTTTTCTATCGAACTCAGTGGTGTGAAGTTGTGATCAATAAGAGTGAGCACTGCTGCCTTCCCTTTCTTCTCAATGGCGGAGAGGGTACAACATCAGTCCTTGCTCTCAGGCTCTTACTGATAGCACCATCCAATGGACATTGCAGTGCCGCGAGTTTGTATTGTCCTAAATCATCCTGTTCTTCCTCCTTTCGGTATCCTCCTCCTCCTCCCCTTTCTGCTCCACCTGCCTTTTTCAATATGGCATGGCTATCATCAGTCACCCTGATAATGTTCATGACGACAGAGTAGAGAAGGAAAGATGGAGGTTGCTGGGCAGGAAGGGAGGCATGGATCAGGGTACACGTGTGGGACCACGGGCTGGCTTAGGAGAATGCAGAACACACCTCCAGCCACATTACGATGTGCACCAGAGCATGATGAGTGTGAGATGCGTATCATGGTCAGGAGGGCGAAGTGAAGCGAGGGAGGCACTCACAACTCAGTACAGAGAATGATTGGGTTATGAGAGAACGTGGGGAAGGTTGCCATTGGCAAAAGGAGGTGGAGGATAGGAGAGGTGGATGATAAATACAGCAACGCAGGTATGAGTGGAGGAGTGATGGAATAGGGAGGAAAGGAGATGAGAATGTGAGCGAATGGAGTTCAGACAGGGGTGAGTCCTACATACTTACATGAGGGCTCCACAGAGGATTGAACAGTTTCAGCAAGGCTTACACCAGCTGATGAGACGAGACAGGAACATTTGATGGAAAATGTGAGGAACAGTTGATGGGATAAGACAGTGCATAGCCCGGGAGGAGGCTCTATTACCTCTTGTAGAGCAGAGTCACCTTTGGCATTACTTCCAGGCCCTACGGATGCTCAGCAGGTGGTCTCTTTTGGTCTAGGGAATGTGGGGTGCAATAAACTCCGTTCACATACCGCACAAGTCAAAGGAAGGGCCGTAGCTTTTGGTCAAAGGCCCGAATGAGGGGTCAAAAGTGGCGTCCTGAGGCCTCAAAACGTCTGAGACAGTCTCTAGAGCTAAGGGGTTGCGGAGCCCTGAGTCGAAAACAGTGTCCAGTACCCCCACGCCAGGCAGATTGACTCTTGGATCTACACGGGAATACGGGCCCAAAGTCAAAGTCAACTCGTAGGAGTCCACCACGGCCGTCGATCAGATGCATCTCAAAGGCTGTCTGGAGGTATCTAGAAGATTACGGTCAAAGTGGAACAAAGAGAAAGCATGGGACAGCATTGCATCCAGGCCATTGGCTTTCAGATAATCTGGGCCGTTGACTCAATGAGGCCGGAGGCTGGTCAACGTGACTCAACACTATATGGAGTTGACCCAGCCACTGTGGAGATCATTCTGCCTTGCATTTGGCATGCAGCCAAGCCGCTGAGCGCGAGACTATGGCGAGAGGCTGCTGGCGCCAGGCTTTGAGGGTGGGCACCAGCCAAGGTGTTGTGAGGAGAGAGAGAGTGGGCGGCCATCGCTGCCAGCATAGATACTTCTGTTGTATGGCGAGGTGGTAAGGGATCAGGCTGTGAGACAGGAAGAGGAGAACGTGGAAGGGAAGCTTACCTTGTCCTACCTGTTGTTGATGTGGTCACGCTGCTGCTGTTCTTCACGGTGACAGAGGAAGGGACTTGCCAACCTCCATAGCCTGGAGGAAGGGGAGGTTGTGTGCCCTGATTGATGCTGCACAGAGACTTCACAGCCACGTGACAGATTGAGAGAATCCTGCTGAGGTGCCGCTGAGGGAGCTGCCCGAAGGAGGAGAGGGAGAGCAGCATACTTGTATTATTGATTATTAATATTATTATTGTAATTCTCCCCTCTCTCCTCATTGTCTATTCTCCCCTCTTGCTCCACTCTTATACGATTCACTTGCTTGAAGATTCAATCACGTGAGACCTGGAGATAAGGTGTACTATTTGATATGTGCTGGTTACAGATATTGCTATATGGTTGATTGCTTCTCAAGGAGACTGGGCTCACTGCAGGGGATTATATTCTCCCTTATAGAGCAGAGTCACCTTTGGCATTACTTCTAGGGCCTATAGATGCTCAGCAGGTAGTCTCTTTTGGTCTAGGGAATGTGGGAATTCTATTCCACCTTATAGAGCAGAGTTACCTTTAGGATTACTTCTAGGCCCTATAGATAGATGCCCAGCAGGTCCTCTCTTCTGGTCTAGGGAGCCCACAGGTCATTTGGGGCTAGGTTTCACTTTACCTCGAGACAACTTGTGTCGTAATCTTCAGATATGTTAGCTTCCCTTGTTTGGTTGTTCTCTGTGGTACTGCGGCACCTGTGCTTTTTCATCTATTAGCTCTTTCTCAGTGGTTCTCTCTGTTTTCCAAAATAGAAACAGGGCCTCAAGGTCCCAGCTCCTTTCTATTCTGGGGAGCATCAGTCCGGTTCCTTTTCCACCGGAAGTTTCCAATTGAAACATACAAGACTTTCTCGGCGCTTCTTTTTCCTTTTTCTTCAGTGTTCACACTTAGGCATGCATGGCTACCTGTTCGAGACAAGCATGTGACTACTGACAGGATCAACCAGGTAATCTGTAACCAGTCCATCTTCCACGATGACTGGCGACGGCGGTGTTTCTTTGCGTTTGTGTGTGTTCTTCTCGTCTCTATCTCTTCTCTATACTCTTAAAAACTGCGAAGGGCCCGACGTGACGCTTCACAGCGGGCCCAGGGAAAATCGGTGCCGCGTGGCAGGCGCAAAAAGCGGCTAGAGTGAGGTGCCCGTGCGGACCAAGGAGCAAAACGGTTTTCCGCCGGCACATTCCCCTCTCCCCCCCGGTTCCACCGTGTTTTTTCTTCCCATTTCCCGCCTCTGGGGTTTTTCTTTCAACCCCCCAGTTCAGTTCCGTTTCCCGCCAGTCCGTGGAGCCGGGCAGGGGGCGGGTCGATATGGAAAAGGGCGGCAATCGAAAGATGTGAGGGACGAGGGAGGATCGACACAGGAGGAGGGAGAAAGACATTTGGGGCATGTTTGCACGTGTGCACTCAGAGCAGAGTAGTAAGGGACAGGGACAAGAAGTGGGAGAAAGATGGAGGACAAAGAGCGAGAAGCACGTTTGGGCCGACGAAAACGAAGGAGGGAGCACGAGGAGCTGTGAGGACGAGGAGGAACAACATGAATGGAAAAGAGGAGTGAAGGACGACGAGAATGGAGGAAAGAGAAGGAGTAGCAAGGGACAAGAAAGGACGGCGAGAATGGAGGAAAGAGAAGGAGGATGGAACAAAGAGAATGGGAGGGGAGGAGGGAGGAGAAAGAGGGACCAAGAGGAGGAGGACGATACGCATAGCAGACGATGAGAATCCATGGAGGAGGGGAAAGGATGAAGAGAGGAGCGGCGAAGACAAGGTGGTGTGTGTGTGTGTCCGTGTCTGAGTTCTTGCTAAGATTCCATTGTCTAAGATTCGACCCCATTTCTTCCCAAATCGCCGAAATCGGTGCCCAAAACGCATGTGCGCGAGCTTTCCGAAAGCAAAGGATAACCCTGCTCCTTTCCCCTGTTCTGTGATTTCAGCACACACACACACACACACACACACACACACACACACACACACACACACACACAGACACACACACACAAGCTCGGATCCACGCACACCAAGCGATTGAGCGAGAGAGAGCTGGCGGGAATCAGACGAGGAGGGGAACAAAAGAAAGAAATGGCGACAGATGACAGACGAGGAGGGGAACAAAAGAAAGAAATGGCGACAGATGACATTGTGATTCGGCGGGAAAGAAGAAGGAGAAGGAGAAGAAGAAGAAGACGGCGATTGCGCTGCCAGCGCGCACACACACGGAGCCATCGAGCAAGAGAGAAACCTGGTGGGATTTAGACGGAAGGAGAAAGAGAAGACGAAGAAGATGGCACGAGGAAGGTACCATCTCTATCAAGATGGATTGCGAGGGAGGGGGGGGAAAAAGCAAAAAAGAGGATGGATCCCACCATCACCCCAGAGGAAAGATAACATGTCACACAGGTCGAAAATCCCGCATGCATTAAGATCCACCAGAAATGGGAAACAAGACAGGTGGAGGAGAAGGAGGAGGGGAGGGGGAAAGTGGGGAGGAGATTATGTTGACACTGGATTGAGCATGGGAATACCGCAACTGCAACCGTGGCTTCGAACCCCATTCGGGGAGGAGGGAGGAGGAGGAGGAGGAGACGGTGTGTGATGCCATGCACGTGCATGAGCCGAGGAGGAAGCACACGAAGAAAGACGGCACGCACAGGGAGGAGGAAGAACGAGAAGGACGTCTTGACCAATGGAAACGAAGGAGGGAGCACAAGAAGCGGCGATGACGAGGACGACCAACAACGATTGGAAAAGACAAGGAGAGAAGGGACAACCAGGATGGAGGAAACAGGGGAACGGGACAACGAAGATGGATGGAGGAAACAGGGGAACAGGACAACGAAGATGGATGGAGGAAACAGGGGAATGGGACAACGAAGATGGATGAAGGAAACAGGGGAACTGGACAACGAAGATGGATGGAGGGTGAGGGAGGGGCGATGGAGACAAATATGGATGGAGGATCGAGGCAGAAGAAGGAAGGAGGATGAGGGACGGGACTTTATGCTTTTTGAAGCGAGACGGACCAGGGAGTTACAATGAAGGAGAGGAGGAATGCAGGAAACAGAAGGGGGCCACGAAGATGGATGGAGGACCAAGGAGAATCGACGGAGAAGTGGCGAGGAGCAAGAGGGAGAAGGATATTTGGGCCAGCCTCTGTGTCCTGTGTTGCAATATGCAATCCCGGCGAAGCAGGACAACGCACAAACTGGGGTCAGGAGGTGAAAGGATTTTTGCTGTGCATGAAAGAACAAAATACGAACCGTTTATTTTTAATTTTTTTTCCCAAATGCCAAATTCGGTGATGCAGTCATTGACTGCATGACTGGATTAGAATCATCATTTTCTTCTACAAATTCATCACTTCTTTTTTTTTTTCGTTGATTGCGTGAATGGATTTGAAACACCATCTACATGTTTTTCCCATGCAATTCTATATCGATTTTTGTGTGTGATCGAGCCATCTGATCTGCATTGCTCTTCACTGCTCTTCTTACATTTCGGTCACATTGCTTCTTTTATGCAGGGCTGCAATTCTACATTGACTTTTGTGTGCTCCATGCTCAGGATGTCGAGTCCGCCTGTCTGCCTCGTGCCCTTCTGCTGGCCCGCGGCGTAGCCGCGGCAGGTCCACTTCTTTTTTTAAAACAGAACCCTACAGCTTCGGCTCCTTATCCGTTCTCGGGAGCATCAGTTCGGTTCCTATTCCACCGGCAAGTCAGATAAATACAACAAGAACACACTCTAACACTTCTCCCCATTAAGGTTGAGAGATCTGAGTAGGCGGCATTGATTACTTCCCTCTTACCACTTCGTTTCTTTATCTTTATACTGTGTCTAATGGAAATTGATGAGCCCGACAGCATTGATTGCTTCCCTATGGAAGCATTAACTGTCAGGTTTGGGTCTACTCTTAGTTCCCTATTCTCTTTGCTGTCCCTTCTTTAGAAGCTTTCTTCTATCCTAAGTTATGTCTATATTCTCGTCTAGTTGAGAAGAGTAGACTGATTTCCTGAGCCTTTCCTCTCAGGCCACTGCTGTCGACTGTAAAATGATTTCTTTAAATTCTTTTATAATAAGAATTTGCTCAGAGTCTCTTTTCCTACCTGACTGAGCAATTCCCGATCCAAAACCTGTGTGGTAAAGGCTTGCTCTCCTAACCTTACCTGTCCCCGTTTGAGCCCTCTTCTGTACTAGATGTGCTGAGTGATAAAACGATCTACCTGACAGCATTGCGTGCTTCCCTATGGAAGGATTTAACTTTCGGGGTCTTCCTCTCTATTACTTTGCTTTTCTGAATTAACAAGAACTGGAAACCGGGTCCAGCGTCCCTTGTAGCAGCAGCATTGGCACTGCCTCCCTCCATTATGGTGAGGGGAGCCTGGGACAGCAGTCTTGATTACTTCCACCCCTGCTTTCCGTGACACGACCAAAGACCAGGCCCAACAGTCGACGCCTTGGCGTTCCCCATCCAGGCATTCCTCTTCCTCTGTTGGTGGATCACGCGCTGGAATTTATCGGTGTTTCTTAATTTGTGTATGCCTTGTTTTTCAGCCATGTCTCTTTTCATCCAATATATAGACTTCCTTATTTCCCACACGGATTTTCAAGTTTGGTATGCTTTCTTTCATTTGTCTGAGTGTGGGATCTATTTTTTTCACTGGTCATCCCACACGATTTGGCAGTATTTTGTCCGTCGCTGAGCCCCTGATATGTCACTTCTCCAACACGAAAGATCTTGCAAGTGCAAAAGCAAACATCCGACCGTAATTAAAAAGGTTATGGCAGTGGAGCTCTCCACATCTTCCCTAAACTGGGAGGCATGTGCAGTATGCCCATACTGAAGCCATCTGTTCCACAAGACTCACTGCCATTCCTCGTCTTTATTGTAAGCCGGTCATTGTCAGACAGACGGTAAGTCAATGCGAAATCCAGCTGAAAGTTCTGGATGCAGGTGTGCACTACGCACCTGATAGAGATTCATTAAGCCGTACATTTTGCACACCTCCTTTGGGATGGGATCAACATCTTCTGGAACCAACTTCAGAGTCCTGGTCGATACCCAATTCACAGAGTTGACATGCAGAAAACATAACACGGTTCTTTACAAATCTGAGAGAAATCATAACGTACAAGATCCGCAGCCGCTGTACTCCACTTGACACAAAGTCAATTTCCAGGCATGAGAGGAAAATTTGCAAGGTTTCAAGTCAAGGCACAGAGCAATGCGACCACAGGAAAATGTAACATTTCAAGGTTGAACAACTTAGTCACCTGGAATGACCAGCTAGAAGCCTAGAACTTAATTCAGTGAGTGGAGAGCAATCCAATCATCCAATAATGCGGTGAATGAGTAATGACAGTGTATGCATGAAAGAAGAAAGCTTGGTTATGTGCCAGTGGCTCCTGTTCATAGTTTGAAGTCATAGCACACTCTCAAACATGCTCAAAACACTCTCATCATGACCCAAATACTGCTCTCCAAGAGTTGGGCTCACTTCAAACTATGGCTGCAACTGATGATGGAGACCACTCCTAACAATTGAGGCCTTCCTCCTTCCAGCAGTTCGGCAGCTATGGCCGAAAGTTGTACCCCAGATACAGCTATAATGACCAGACGTTCCATTTGGGTGAAGACGGTAGTCTTTCAGTTACCACTCCCTGTTTCCAGGGATTCCAGCAGCTTGGCAGCTATGGCTGCCGCTTTCCCCTCAACCAGGAAAACCCTGTCTCTCTATTGCACTAAGGCTCTCCTACCAGGGTTGTCCGACTGCCTACGGCCGACACCGACCGAAGGCCGTAAGCTCGCTTACCAGTCGGGCCGACCCGTAGGCGGACTGGTCGGCAGTCTGTAGAGGGCCATCCACTGTTTTTTTCTTCAAACCTGAGCTCAGGGATGTACTGCACTTGATGAGCACAGCCCAGTGAAGTAACCCGTGTTCTGCAGCAGTCTGGGCCTCGAACGGAGCCCAGACAACACAGGCCAAAACTCGACCTGTGTCAGGCAGTGTGACCACGCACTGCCCTGGGAAAGTCAAAAGCCTAAGTCAACTGTCAAAGGTACCACACCCAGGCCCTTGGTCGGATACACTCACTTGTTGTGCGCAACTCACTTGTTGTGCGCAGGTACCCAGGCAGCATCAAGGCCACAGGGAGTTCGGTTTCAGGCCTATCTGGGCCGTCATTTGCCTTGAGATCTCGATGGCCGAAGGAAGAAGCAACCGGGGTCCAGACCGCGCATCAACGCTACATAAGCCTGGACCTTCTGGGTTGGAGAACATTCTGTCTTGCGTCAATGCTGACTTCACACATTGACGATGACGCTAGCAACACTGCGACGCTGGCTGGACGTTGGCTCTACGCTGGCATTGGGCGACGACGTGCTGCAGGCTCCGCATGGTGGCTCGCTGGCAATTGTCTTCTGGGCATGCTGACATGGCAGCTGCCACACGTCGCCGCTGACGTGGCCGCTGCCACGTGGATTGTTGCTGACGTGGTGAGACTACGTGACTGGCATTGCTGTTCTGATTCATCGTCACTCGGGAGGAGATCATGACTGTGGGGCGATAGTGGATACGTACCTGGTTATCTTGACGTCGACATTGCTCCAGCTCGCTGATGAGGACTGATTGGCGTGCCACGTGGGACATTGTGATAGAACTTCAGATGCGCGTTCAGACTATTGATTATTGAGGTGGCGATCGAGGAGGGATCCCGAAGCAAAAGTGGGCATTGTCTTCCTTCCCACTCTAAGTCTATTCTCCCTCCTCTCTCCTTCGTCTGTGTATGTTTTCCCATCTCATTCTATCTGGACACGATTATGATTATTGACAATCATCAGCAGGTTAATATCTATCTGGGCTTGCATTGTTGACAAGTGTCTTCAGGATCTGGGTTCATTGCACTAGATCCGCTGAGAAACTTTTGGTGATGGGAGGGGGGCTACCAGGGGTTATGGTGGAGGTATAGGGGGGCATAGGGGGGTTATAGGGCGTTAAGGGGGGGGTATGAGGGTGTTGGGGAGCGGTATGGAAGTGTTGGGGGGGTGTTGAGAGGATGTTGGGGGGATGTTGGGGGGGTGTATGGGGGTGTTGGGGGTGGCTATGGAGGTGTTGATGGGGTTATATGGAGTTCTGGACACTTTTCTTTTCTTTTCTTTTTTTTGTGGGGTGCTAAATCTGCCGACCGACCCCCGACCGATAGGGGCCGACCAGTCCGACGGTCGGCCCCCGACCAATCCAGGGGCGCCGAGCGTCGGTGTGACTACCCTGCCTCCTACTACAAAGTGCTAGGTCAACGTCTCCCCACTTGCTTCGCAATTCCTGTGGCACGGATTATGTCCGGTGATAAATGCCCAGCTACAGTGGCTGTGAGCTAGCACAATATGCAGCTGTACATGCTCTGTAAGAGGCAGCCACTGAGTACCATCCTCCATGGAAGAACGCTCCAACAGAAAAAATGTCGATGAGAAATCAGAGCTGACCCTGGTGTAGATCATTGGGCTGTTAGGGTTAGATTGGCATTACATGGATCAGATACATTTGATCGAATGGTTGAAATGCAGCCATGGATGGGCGTGAATGGTTCTGCAAATGCATTGCTACGCTCAGTCCACAGCGGATGGCTGAGGTTTCATGAGCGCAATCTTGTTTCATGGACCGGGGGCCACTCCAAACTCTAAAGATGTCTAGGACTTGAACAGTTGGGCCCTGGAAGATTCTCAGAAAGTAACTGCAAGTTTGCGATAGACAGGCACATGTTTGAGATGGTAGGGGCCTTAATGGTCAAGGCTTTGAAGCGGACAGATGAACTCCGGCCCCACTTTTTCACTGGTTATTTTTACTCGATTGTACACCGATCTAAGCAGCCCTTGGAAAGGTCTTACCCCCCCCACTATTTGGCCCCTGCCAAGTCATGCCAAAAAAACATCGGCACACAGTAAGCATACTAATACCATTGCACAACAGGAGCATGGGTACACAGTAACGGGTGAATACAAGGAGCACGGTGACCGGCTGGACGTCCAGATTGGGATGAGGAAGGACCGCATCCCGATGTCCGGGTCATTCGTCCAGATGGGCCACCAACATACCATTTTTGAGAAAACATAAGCACACAGTAAGCATACTAATACTATTGCACAGCAGGAGCATCGGTATGCAGTAACGGGAGAATATAAGGAGCACGGCAACCGGCTGTACGTCCAGAATGGGATGCGGTTGAACCGCAGCCCGATTCCGGGTCAGTCGTCGGGATGGGCCATCAACTTACCGTTTTTGAGAAAACATAAGCAGGGCGCCCAGCACGTTTTTCTGGTACTGGGCGCACCCACAAAAATTGCCGGGAGTTTTTGGCCGTGGAATGTCCTTCGGAAGTTCGGACAGGCCCGGGCCCACCTCAGTTGTGGCTTGCCAATTTCGAATTTGAACAGAAGGTGCGGCAGATACATGTTATCCAATCCGCCCACTGTGACTTTCCCGCACTGTGGATGGATCCCGCTGCTGCCAGACGGTCCAGATGTCCAGAACCTGTCCGGTAATCCAGAAGTCAGGATCAATCTGGGCGGAGGCTCACTTTTTGGTCCGGATCGGCTGGCATCCAGGTACGCGGTTACCATGATAAGGAGTCTGGACAATTTTGCAGTTATCGATGAACAAGGAAAAGGCTTCAGGTTGTCCTACGAGACATCTGTTAAAACTAGAACGACACAGAGAAGACTACCGTCTTCACCCGAATAGAACGCCCGGTAATTATGGCCGTATCTGGACTGAAAGTTGCATCAAATACAGCTATAATGACCGTGCGTTCTATTCGGGTGAAGACGGTAGCATGGCCCCTGCACAAGGATGACATGCATGAATCAGGAAATGGTTGAAATCTCTTTCCGTTTAAAAAGAGGGGGGAAAAAAGGAAGAGGCTTCAAGCAGAATAGTTTGGTCTCCTGGACAATCACTCAACAAACTTTTCCTTCTTTCTATGAAGAAGAAAAAAATACAGCTGTCTTCTCCCTCATATGGGGGACAGTAGTATTTTAATTTTTAACTACCCCATTTTCTTCTCTCAATACATTTTGCAATCAGACTCGCTTTCTTTCGTACTCCACATGCATGTAAACAGGTAGTGCAGCAAACTGGCGACAAGCGGCCACTCAAAACTCAAAGATATGGAAACCAAGAACACAGTTCAGATACAAGTTCACTTCAGACGGCTATGGCACGTCAGCGCCTGTACAACTCCCTGTTCGTCACTGCGCCCCACTCCGCTGTTCACACACCCTCAACTTAGGATCACCCTGGATATCCCACACCCGTCACACTGTACACACGCACACACACACGCACACACACACGCTACACTCTTCTATCAGCTATGGCGGCTATGGCCGCTACTACCCCTATCGCTATGGCTAAGCTCTCCTTGAGATTGACTGGGACTGGGTACTGTGCCACTTGCCCACTTGCCTCGGTCTACTGTGGGCAGTACCCGAAAGGCCACTTCCGGACCTTCCAGAAGACCTTGGACTTGGCCTTTCGGTACTGTAGCAGCTACGACCTTGACCCTTCGGAGGAGCTACAGCTACGACTTCTAGAACTCACTAAGACTCCTATCCGACAGGTCTACAGATTGAACCCCTATAACCTACAGACCTACGACAACCTACCAACTGTGGGGAAAGACACGGTCGTGGGTTCAACTCCTGGGGTCGACACAGATACTGTACACAGATAGAATAAGGACTACGGATCGAGCCCTGGGATCTGCATCGGCTACTGCAAAGGTGGAATCCGTTTCAATTTTCTCGCCTCACAATAGCTACCCATATCTATGCCCTACCCACACGCCCTGGCAGGCAGATACTGAATCACATGTATTCAGGGGAGAAGCAACTACCCTACAGCGGACGAAGGACCAGCCTTAATCTACTAATAACCAGACTTAAGCTATGCTAAGGTTATGGGTCTACGCCTACCTAACTCTGCTCTGTGTGGGGAGCAGCACCCAAGCTCCTAACACCTGGCGCAGGCCGGAAAGTAAGACTCAAATTCCACAACCACCCAGGAGTGACAAGCCAACTTTCTCAGTCGCTGACCCCGAAGTGCGCCACACAGGGGGTCGTGGGGAATCGAATGGATCCCATGGGGAACCGAACCCACAAACTCCTGCATACCGCTGACCTGCTCAACCAACTGAGCTAGGCCACTCGGTCACAACAAATTTCTTTCCGTTTAAATAGATGGAGAAAAAAAGGAAGAGGCTTCAAGCAGAATAGTTGGTCTCCTGGACAATTACTCAACTAATCCAATAAGGCTTCTCTAGGGCTTCAACGTTCTCTGGTGCCTGCTTTGATAGCTGAAGACGAGCAGTTGGTCTACAGGGAGGGGAGGAACCAGGGTGAGCAGAGGTAACTCAATACATCAAGAGAAGCAATCAATGCCGCTGTGTCAGCATCCCCCACCCTAAGGGGGGAAAGTATTGTGCGGGTCTTTATATAAGACCTCCTTGAGAGTTTGCACATACTGTTCGGGACAGGCTCTCTGGTGCCTGCCTACATAGAACTGATGGCACTGTTAAAGGAGGAAGAAGCTGGGGTAAGGGGAAAAGGGACAGCAATGGGACAGATGGACAGAGGAGACATATTCCAGCAATACAAGAGACGTAAAAGACCATTCAGCCAAAATGTGTACATCTTATAATCCAGACAGAATACACTACAGGACCTCCTGGCCTTAGCTCCGTTCTATTGCGGACAGCATCAATAGCATACTTGCAAGCGGACGCCGTCCAGGCGGTTCCGCACGTGCGGCAGACCGCCGGACAGGACCCGCGCGGCGCACGAATGTGCGCCCGACGACCAGTTACGCCCCCCCCCCCCCCCCAAAAAAAAAAAAACGTCCCCGTCCGGTCCGGTCCGGGTCCGTCTGGTCCGGGGGGAGGGTGCCGCACGCGGCAAAGCGGACCGAACCGGACGCTAGTCCGGTCCGTCTTCCTGCAAGTATGGTCAATAGTCACAACTATATGATTTCATCTCTGGAAAAAAAAGAAAAGAAAGAGGGGGCAATGGTCTTGACATATCATCACTGAAATGACCGGCCGCAGGTAATATGGAATTATCTTTTGATTCTGTTCATCAACTTCATCTGGTTGCATCTGGACTCAAATTCACGTCTGTATTGGAACAGTTTCATTGGTGTACCAACTGAGCTCGGCCAGTTGGTATGACCATATGAGTTCAAATTTGATAGAGACCAATGAATGACCCAGCTGCAATTACAAACCCAAAGTGATGTCTCAATCACCATAGCCTCCTAACAGCAACTCCCTGCCACTCAGCAACACATCAGTGATGACTAGTTCTCATCCCCAAAGAAGATGCCCACATGCAGAGAATTGATAGCATCAGGTCACGTAGTTAACACAACAATTTCACGCGACAATACAAACAAACGAAAATGCAAGTTTGAAGGCTCGCTACACTCATTCGCCTCAAGTGTTGTGTCCTTCCTCAAGGAGATTCATGACAGGTTCCTAGCCTCCACGGTCCTCAGGCACTTCATTTTTCCGTTCCTTGTCCGAACGTTTCTTCTTGCCAAATGTTCGGACTTCAGAACCTCAATCACCAGTAGGATATCAATAAGTCAGCGACATACCTGTTGATTAGCTTCCCGATAATTCGGGCAGAAAGGCTGCCTTTTGATGAATAGATGGGTGTCGGTTGATGTATTTCTGAGGATTTGTGCAACTTTCCCTCCTCCATCCAATCAAGCTCTGTATTCCAATCCCCTTCAGACGCTTCTTCTGATTGCTTTGGAGGACTGGAGCGAACAAATGCTGCTGCAACATCAGACTCTTCTGCCTTTTCGCCCACATGCTCTCTCTCCTCCCTTGGATCATTAACAATGCGAATAACAAACTCCTTCATCTCAAAGTTACTTCCCGAGTCCATCATTTTCACCTGCGCAGACAGAGTCGAAAGTGTGAGAAAGCATGCGTTGAAACTTGAAAGCATTCAATGTTACCTCCACTTGCAACCCTCACCTTGACCGCTAAACAAATCACCTCCATGTGCCCCCAAACACATGGATGCCCGCAGCATCCGTGAAAAGAAATCCCTGGCCAAACGAGTGAAACACACAAATGTTCAGGGACGCAACAAGGGAGGGAGGAGGGTGATGCTGGCAGGGGGGTAGACATGGTCATTTGGCTCCCCCAATTGGCAATGTTAAGTTTGTATTCCTAGGGGGAGAGAGAGAGGGGGGGGGGAGAGAGAG